TTTTTTTTTTTTTTTTTTTTTTTTAACAAGGAAAAAGTCCGCTACGGACTATAGAAATTACTATGATGTCTATATCGTTTTTCGATCTCGCGTTTGTCCTCTTTTCAATTATTATTTCATTCCTCCCTCGTCTCAATCGAAGAGATAAGGAGGAATGAAAAACGGAATAATATTGGATAACGAGAGATGAATACACGAAATATTAATATTTTCATCCGATTGATACAGGCAAAATGCTCTACGGTAAGGACAGCGACCGTTTATATTAGTACTCTGTGTGTGTGGTAATATTTATATATATATATATATAATATATATTTCAACGTACAAACTATATTGTACCTTAATAACCTCTAAACGCAATGGGTACAAGGATAATATTTACACAGCCTAGAACCACTTGACACGGTCCAGGATTACGCGATATACCATTTTTCAAAGAGGTCCAAAGATTTGACAATCAGTCTAACTTAACCTCTTTGTTCTAAATTGAACGCGATAATACGCAATCATTTAACGGTGTGACAAGTATTTTTCACGTTCCTATCAACTAGTTATCAACATTTATACATAATACAACCAGGTTCCTCGCACGCACGCACTCTCAGCCCCACTCGTAGGATTGCGTAACGTTTTCTCTTTTTTTTTCGTTCGATTCTCTCGTAACATAACCCCATTTTAGCGGATGGTCGGTCGGTTAATTCGTGTATTATGTAAATATCAAACAAATTATCGCACAAATCTATCATGGTATATACTCATCAATGAAAAATACTTTCTTTACAATGAAACATTTTTGTGGAAAAAACTCTCAATCGCTCTCTTTCTCTCACTCAGTTATATAGCTCGGTAAAAATACCCTGAAGATGTACATATCATTAAATAGACGATTACATAATAAATGAATGAACAGTCAAGTGAGAAAAATATGATTTCGATTTGTACTTGGAAATGATACGAAGACATTTCGTAAGTAGTTAGTATAATCGGAATAAAAAGAGAAAAAAAATCTTTACTATGTAATACATAAAATAACGGGGTTCTTTTTTTTTTTTTTTTTTTTAGTCAAATTTGATAAAAATTTCCTGACGCTGCACATTCCTACTGTGATCGGGGTGCACCGCTGTGTTTCTAGATCTTTTACGTACAAAGAATCGTTTTTGCGCGGATTCTCAAATTTGTGTGTATATTTTGTATATAATTCAATATTTTGAGAATCTCATTGTTCAGCTATTATTTAAATAAAATATCGGTGAACACTGATGTGTGATTATGTAAAGTGACAATGCGCATCGTTATCACGGACGTTTCTTTGTGCGTAAAAGTGCAAAAGGACGCAAGGTGACATGGCACGATACCTTAATCATTAAAAAAAAAAAAAAAAAAAAAAAAAAAAAAAAAAAAAACAAAAAAAAAAAACAAAAAAGAAAAGAGAAGGAGGAAACGAATCGATAAAACCGTGCTTAACCTTTAAAACTTGAAACGTTTTACATTTTCTTCTCATTGTGAATATCAAATAATTATTGATTCTTTACTAACTGTGTTACATGAGTTACCAAAGTTAGCTAAAAGAAAATTTATGATCAAATACTTTTATATTAACAAACATTAAAATTGTGTTTGCAAATACGAGTACAGTAATTGTCAGAAATGTAAGACGTGTCAAAAAAAAAATTTCTAATACGCCTGTTTCTATATCTATTTACATGGCGCCTGTAAATGGACGCCCGGAATCTGGGATTATTTAATTATAATTTGTGAATTACGCACGCTAACGAGGTTATCGTCGATAATCGTAATTGTTCGCCGATAAAGCGTCTTTCAACTATGAGACTCGTATTTTTATTTAATGACTTCGTATTTACTATAGACACGCTTTGTGCGATTAATTTTTTTATTCAAACACATTGAGATTTAAAAGATTTTATATCTTAAATAGACTCAAAATATAATAATTATTACATAAAAAATATTATACAAAATATTTATTCATTCTAAAAATAGGCCTTAATTTTATTTTTATTTTATATAAAATTTTATATATTAAAAGAAATTGTTAATAATGCAATTCAAATTGAAATCTTGAATAAATTGAATTACATTTTTATAGTGTGAAATAAAAAAAATAAAGATTATGATATGTAGAACAGTGATGATACGTGTCTACTTTCATACGAAGTTTAATACGAGCCTTTAACACAAAAAAAATTGACAAATTTGCTTCGTTTTAATCGCAATGTGTTTCTCTCTGCAACAATCAGTGCCCTTGGCACATCTTGTAGTTATATGTGTTATATTAAAATAAGAATATAAAATTATAAAACTATTAACAAATGTACATATCAATAGAAAAAGTCTCAAAAATAATAAAATTTCAAGAAACGAGGAAGGAAACGATAGAACTTTCGACTTTTAGGTTTGAATTGGAATTCTGATTTTTTTTCTAATTTACTATTAGACAAAATAAAAGAACAGAATTGTAAAAAGTTATGAATAGGCCAACGATAATCTATACATTCTCAATATTTTACTCGTTGTAATCTGAATTCATTCGTTTCTTTTTTCTTAATTTGAGAACAAATAATTTGTTTTAATTATAAGAGAATACAAAAGGAATATAATCTATAAGACTACATATAATATAATGTAAGAGATCAAATCTATAAGAGATCAAAAAAATTGATTATTGAAATTGTTATATATATAATGAAATTTTAGTTACGAAAATTAAATGAAAATTAAATAAAAAGTTAATGAATAAAATAAAACGCAAAGATAATTTTTATCAATCAAACTTTTGAAGTTAAAATAAGTATTCTAATATTCTGTATAATTAATAACGTAAAAAATAAAATGATCATCAATTCGATTAATTCTAACCTAAAAGTCGATTATTATCGTAGTATTGTTGATTCACATAGATTGAGCTTTAGTCAAATAGACCAGTTTCACGAATAGAATGCATTTGTGCATAAAAGGTAAGAAGAAAAAGAAAGTTAGCGCATATATAAATTTTTGGCGCATATATTTACCGATATTTATAGTTCGAGGGTAACTTTTCCATATAGACTAAAGTTTGAAATTGCAGAGTAAGACGCATCGATACTATCTACTTCGATTGTATATTTGTTTGAATGCTTTGTGCTATCGTATTCCTTGTTTTTTATTTTAAACGTTATCCAAAAGACTTTGTTCTAAATAGTTTCACTTTCTATATCATCGTTTGTATAAACGATCTAAAACCCTGAGATGCGAATTCGCCTTACTGTTGTCCTAGTCTCTTTTTTTATGGAAAAATTGGCCAAGTAATCAGGTTTTCAGATGGTTTTTAAAGTGTACCCTCTCAGCACGTAATAAATCATTTTTTTAATTTCACAAAGTTAAAAATATATTATTCTATGTACTTTTTTTTTTCAAGATGAAAAAAAGAAAAATATTTTTGGACGTTAATATAAAAAAGAAGTACATTGGAATAAATATCATACCGTATTTCAAATTTATTACGTGCTGTAGAATATAATATAAATATTTTAAAACGTATAAAAGTGCGATGTTGTGCGCAACGCAGCTAAATATAATTAAACTTCTTGCTAATTTGAAATCACTCGGTCATATTTTCAAATCGATTCATATGAAATCGTTGTAAGATATCAACAACATAGAAATTTGTTTAAACGAAATGTATAATAATAAAATTAGTTAGTCAGAGCGATAGCGAACTGCATATGCTTTTCCAGCAACAATATATTAGAAAAAATGTTAATAGTTAAAATTTTTTACTTTAAAACGTTACAATAATATGATTATGTTAACTAACCATTACTTTATGTAGTAAAAAATTGTTAAGCTACACGATTCTACGATAAAGTGTATCAAATTCATTTACTTTTTCTAATAGACATAGTTATATATACCTGTACGTAGTTTGTGGAATAATTATTCACATTTTCATAGAGTGTAATTTCTTAATGAAATATACTTGTTAAAGTTTCACTTTTGTTAAAATAATATTTTCCATTTTTCATCTTGTAAAAAAGCTCACTACCGTTCTGATGTCGTTGATAAATAATGAATGATATTTGTCATTTTAACATTCAGATAATACAATATATAAAAGCACGATTTTAGCGAAAACAGCTGAATCATGTCTGAGCTGTATATACTTGTCCGTGGCAGTCTGAAGTTTTAAGATACTGAAAATTAATTTCATATATAGTGAATCAAAATAATATTAGCATACATTCTTTTTTTGAAATATTTTTATACATTGCAATGATATATTAATACAAATATATATTTAATATTTCTCAATATATGGAACTAACACATACTTTCAAATCATTCAATTACGTTAAAGAAAATAAAAAAAGAAAAACAAATTTTTTATAATTAAGAAAAATATTGGCACACTTGTAATTATTCATAATTATTTGCATATATATCTTGGAAAAATATCATTATACGCTATTAATACCAAAAGCATACGCACAAAATAATGAACATTTATTTTATATATTTGTTTTATAAAAAAATAATTTAAATAATTAATAAATAATAAATTTTTAGAATTGAAAGTTTTGAAAGTACATATCAATTTTATATATTAAAACATATTAAAAAATATATTATATTAATATATTACTTTCGTTTGTAATGATATTTCAAAAAAAAAAAAATATGCAAATATTTTGTTGATTCACTATACTTTTTTTTTTTTGTGACTTTAGAATCGTTAATTGTATGTGCAATTATGTAAATCTTGTTACTTTTTTAAGTCTTTTAATAATGCTTCGAATGTCGTTTCAAGATTATCATTATTTGAAGCAAAATTCTTCATTGGTGACTTTTTATGAATAAATTGTTTGTCAGAATATATAAAGCGGTTTTTTTATATCGTCCCTGTTTCTCAATTATATATAAAATTATATATCTAATAGTTGTTCATATAATGATTATTTCTAACACAGAAAGAAATACTTTCTGTTACTAATGATAAGGACTGGTGATAACCGAGTGAAAATTTCGAAGTATTACAAACTTTCTTACTCTTCTTTAACATATTAACGAGATAAAAAATTTAAATATACGCGTTCTTCTTACAAAAGAAGAATATAAATTGTTTAGGGACGACGTTCGCTTTAAAAATACGTTGAGTCCTTGTAATATATTCCAGTTTCTCCATAGGAAAGTCGACTTCCATGAGAAAAAATAAAAATTTGAAATGCAGCTTATGATTTCGAATCGGGAGTATCTACGTGTCGACATGGGAATAAAAACATGACTGGAAACTACGATACCAGTCTTTTTTTGTTCAGTAGATAATGCATTTTCTGTGTTTTCTGCTCACATATTATATGCCACATAGATTGGATCGAGTTGGTCCGCTAGAAAACCATCACGCAAGTGCATTCGTTGCTTCTCACCACGCGAATTTATTGGAACTACTCCAGGATCCACCACGACTACTACACCGACTACCAGATGATGTTCTTCTAGAACAGCGCTGGTAACCAATGCCACGAGATCTAAAGCTTCGCTTTCACTTCCGTCAAGTTCCACCACTACTACTAGGAGGTTGGTCCATGTAAATACGGCACTGTGAATTGTATAAATGTTTTGTATTACTTATAACCAAGAGAAGAATTATAGATTATATTTTGAATTATATTTAATATTGCTTCTTTCTTATTAATAATATTATTGTAATAATTGACTTACAATTTTCAACACGTTTGCATTTACATACACTTACCATTCTGCTATTTTCTTATGACATCTCATCACGCTATTCTCAATATCGATCGGATGATATCGCATTCCTCTGAGTAGAATGGCCTCATCGAGGGCACCAACTACGAACACAGCATCATGTAATTCAGAATCGCCAGGAACAAGATCCGCTTCGGCAGAAGTATCACCGGGAATATCACTGATAACCGATTGCTGAACGCTTTCAGTACGTCTTAAGAAACCAAGATAACCAGTTCTGGCATAAACTTCATTTGTATTCCCAGTTACGAGACGGGCATTGAAGTGATCAGCGTAATCGCTCTCGTCACCATATATCGTGAAATAGCCACTGGCATTATGAGCAGATTGCACCCAAATTTCTCCTAAATGAGAATCTCCGCATTGTCCTTTCGTTTCTGGATTGGCAATAATCACTTTCACTCCTGGTAATAATTTACCTGATTCCATCAGGCATAAAGAATGTGGACTACCTCTTTCAACTAGAGATACTCGGTCATTGCGCAATGCGCGGAGATCAACGTATACTGTAGAAGGTTCTGGACTCGATGCACCCTATTCCAACAATATTAATTAATAAATTAAAAATAGTAAAAACATTAATATTTCGTTATATGATATTATTAATTTGTTAATTTATAAATAATCAAACCTGTAAGCAAATAGCTGTATTTACTCTACATCCAAAAGAGGTAGAGACAGCACGTGGACTTAAACCCAGAGCAGAGAAAAGTTTACTGAAGCTCGTAGTAAGTGCGATTCGCGGTCTTTCTTCAGCTACGACAACACACGTTCTGACGCAGGCCAAACTAACACCTCTTGCTTTTAAAGCATGAACAGAAGAACCGAGACCCTTGGTACATAACTCCATTACACCGTAAGAACAAAACGTATCTCTTACTCTGGATTGACTAACTGCTGATAACCACAAGGCTGGATTAACTTCAACCTACAAAGAAAGATATTAAAAACATTTCTTTAATTCTCGTGTTTACAAATAGCTTATAGGAACAAACCTCCGATGGTGGTATAAGTATGGAATGATGACCACTATATATACTACTCAAACACCAAAGGGCGAATCCTAATCCAGAATAAGGATCTAAACACAGAGCGATATGCCTGGATGGATACAATTCACAGGCAAGTTTCATGGCACGACAAAGAGACGTCACTGCTGCATGAGACATTTTAATTCCTGCAAGCATTCCTGTTGTAGAGACGCTGAAATCTAAGTAAGCCAGCATCTCTGCTGTGGGTGCTCGATACATAACAGGTAACTTCTTCTTTGGCATGTCGTCCATATCGAGGATTGTTGGCCAACTCTTAATGTCAACAACATTGTTCGCTTCCTGTATCGTTTATAGAAAATAATTATTAATGATTTATAAAACATAATTTAACACTTTAACTGCTTTCATAATTTAATATATTTTTAGTCTCGTTTAATAAATGAAATTTAATATTTAAATTATATAATTTAAATAATATTTAAATTTAGCAGTTAAAGAGTTAAAAACAAAACTTTAATTACATCACGTTGAATATGTATTAGAAACACAACATATCAATGTACCTTTGTTTTCAATAGTTTCAGGATATTTTGATTCGTGAGCACGAGCACAGACTTACTGACGTCCACAATCATACGAACAGTTGGTAAAGTAGTTTGGAGGTTTTGTGGATGAGGTGGCCTAATTGTAACTGGCACGGCGCCAACATAAAGGCAACCATAAAATGCGCATATCAAGTCTGTACCAGGAGGAAATATTAATGCTACGTGGTCTCCGGTATTGATTCTTCCACGATCTAACAACAGATTTCCGATTCGTTCGGCTTTTTTGTGCAACTGCGAGCATGATAAAGAAGTTGCTACAGCTCCTTTTGCATTTAATGACGTGAAGATTACATGATCAGAAGTACTGACAGCACGCCATCGCAGTATTTCCGAAATGAATTGATACTAAAAATCAAAAT